CAGTTTCTGTAGCAAACTCGCCAATTCCCGTTCTATCAGGACATATCCCAGTTTCTGTAGCATCCTCGCCAATGTCCCCTTTTACTAGGACATGTCCTAGTTTCTATAGAATCCTCGCCAACCGTCCCCTTTTACTATGACATGTCCTAGTTTCTGTAGAATCCTCGCCTACCGTCCCGTATTCCCGGGACATATCCCAGTTTCTGTAGCATCCTCGCCAACCGTCCCCTTTTACTAGGACATGTCATAGTTTCTGTAGCATTCGCCACGTGTCCCCTTTTACTAGGACATGTCCTAGTTTCTGTATAATCCTGGCCAACCGTCCCGTTTTGTCAGGACATATCCTGGTTTCTGTGGAATCCTCGCCAACCGTCCAGTTTTACTAAGACATATCATAGTTTTTGTAGAGTCCTCGCCAACCGTCCAGTTTTACTAGGACATGTTCTAGTTTTTGTAGAGTCCTAGCCAACCGTCCCGTTTTTCGAGAGACATGCCCTAGTTGTTATAGTCCTCGCCAACTGTTCCGTTTTCCCAGGACTTACACTAGTTTCTGTAGAGTTCTCGCTAACCGTTCCGTTTCTCAAGACTTGCCTAGTTTTTTGTAGAGTCCTAGCCAACCGTCCCGTTTTTCTAGGACATGTCGTAGTTGTTGTAGTCCTCGCCAACCGGACTGTTTTTTCGGGACATATCCCAGTTTCTGTAGCAAACTCGCCAACCGTCCCGTTCTATCAGGACATATCCCAGTTTCTGTAGCATCCTCGCCAACCGTCTCCTTTTACTAGGACATGCTAGTTTCTTAATTAACTGTTTTTTACTATGACGGTATATAGAATCCTCGCCTACCGTCCCGTATTCCCGGGACATATCCCAGTTTCTGTAGCATCCTCGCCAACCGTCCCTTTTACTAGGACATGTCCTAGTTTCTGTAGCATTTGTCCCCTTTTACTAGGACATGTTAGTTTCGCGCCGACCGTCCCGTATTCCCGGGACATATCCCAGTTTTAGCATCCTCGCCAACGTCCACTGCGTTACAGGACATGTTATTTCTGTACCATCCTCGACCGTCCCCTTTTACTAGGACATGTCCTAGTTTCTGTTCGCCAACCGTCCCGTATTCCCAGTACATATCCCAGTTTCTGTAGCAACCTCGCTGCTAACCGTCCCGTATTCCCAGACATATATATACTCGCTTTGTCCCGTATTGTACATATCCCAGTTTCTGTGAAATTCGTTAATAACCGTCCCGTATTCCCAGTACATATCCCAGTTTCTGTAGCAACCTCGCTAACCGTCCCGTATTCCCAGTACATATATTTAAATGTAACCATCCAGTTTTTCAGGACATAAGTTTCTGTAGAATCCTCGCCAACCGACACAATCGGGACATATCCCAGTTTCAGCATCCTCGCCAATTGTTTGCACTAGTTTCTAGGAATCGCCAACCGTCCCCTTTTACTGACGGCCAGTTTCTGTAGAATCCTCGCCTACCGCGTATTCCCGGGACATAACTGTAGCATCCTCGCCAACCGTCCCCTTTTACTAACAATATATAGAATCCTCGCCAACCGTCCCGTTTTACTAGGACATGTCCTAGTTTCTGTAGAAACCTTTAATATTATTTATTGGGACATATCTGAATGATAAATTATCCTTATGCCAACCGTCCCCTTTTACTAGGACATGTATAAATTAGCATCCTCCCAACCGTCCCCTTTTACTAGGAGATGTCCTAGTTTCTATAGAATCCTCGCCATCCGTCCCGTATTCCCGGGACATATCCCAGTTTCTGTAGCATCCTCGCGCTCGTCCCCTATCTACTAGGACAGTTTAATTAGCATCATCGCCAACCGTCCCCTTTTACTAGGACATGTCCTAGTTTGCCAACCGTCCCGTATTCCCAGTACATATCCCAGTTTCTGTAGCAACCTCGTTGAGTCCCGTATTCCCAGTACATATCCCAGTTTCTGTAGCAACCTCGCTAACCATCCAGTTTTGTCAGGACATGTCCTAGTTTCTGTAGAATCCTCGCCAACCGTCCCCTTTTACTACGAGATGTCCTAGTTTCTGTAGAATCCTCGCCAACCGTCCCCTTTTACTAGGACATGTCCTAGTTTCTGTAGAATCCTCGCCAACCGTCCCCTTTTACTATGACTACGAGATGTCCTAGAGACATGTCCTAGTTTCTGTAGAATCCTCGCCAACCGTCCCCTTTTACTAGGACATGTCCTAGTTTCTGTAGAATCCTCGCCAACCGTCCCCTTTTACTAGGAGATGTCCTAGTTTCTATAGAATCCTCGCCATCCGTCCCGTATTCCCGGGACATATCCCAGTTTTTGTAGCATCCTCGCCAACCGTCCCCTTTTACTAGGACATGTCCTAGTTTCTGTAGCATCCTCGCCAACCGTCCCCTTTTACTACGAGATGTCCTAGTTTCTGTAGAATCCTCGCCAACCGTCCAATATTCCCGGGACATATCCCAGTTTCTGTAGCATCCTCGCCAACCGTCCAATTTTACTAGGACATGTCCTAGTTTCTGTAGCATCCTCGCTAACCGTCCCGTATTCCCAGTACAATATCCCAGTTTCTGTAGAATCCTCGCCAACCGTCTCGTTTTCCCAGGACATATCCTAGTTTTTGTAGAGTCCTCGCCAACCGTCCAATTTTACTAGGTCATATCCTAGTTTTTGTAGAGTCCAGTTTTACTAGGCCATATCCTGGTTTTTGTAGAGTCCTAGCCAACCGTCCCGTTTTTCTAGGACACGTCCTAGTTGTTGTAGTCCTCGCCAACCGGACTGTTTTTCCGGGACATATCTTAGTTTCTGTAGAGTTCTCGCTAACCGTTCCGTTTTCTAGGACTTGCCTAGTTTTTGTAGAGTCTTAGCCAACCGTCCCGTTTTTCTAGGACACGTCCTAGTTGTTGTAGTCCTCGCCAACTGGACTGTTTTTCCGGGACGTATCCTAGTTTCTGTAGAGTTCTCGCTAACCGTTCCGTTTTCCCAGGAGATGACCCAGTTTTTGTAGAGTCCTAGCCAACCGTCCCGTTTTTCTAGGACACGTCCTAGTTGTTGTAGTCCTCGCCAACTGGACTGTTTTTCCGGGACGTATCCTAGTTTCTGTAGAGTTCTCGCTAACCGTTCCGTTTTCCCAGGAGATGACCCAGTTTCTGTAGAGTCCTGGAACGGTTTGAATATTTATAAGCGGCGTTTTGGCGTTTGAAATCTTAAATTTGGGTTATCGTTACATAGTATAAAATGAAGTAGGCTCCGCTGTTTGTTCGCAGTCTTGGGACATCCGGAATAGTGTTAAGCGTCCTGTAGGTCTACCACGAAGTGCGATTCCGAAATTTCGGATCGATATTTCGTGTGATTCGTACCATGAAAAACGTTCATTCCGAAATCGTGCCCGAAAACGGAGAATATCGTTTCGATCGTCCCACTGGTTCTAAAATTGGGTTATTAAATTATAGTATAAAATAAAGTGGCTTCCGCTGTATGTTTGCTTAGATCTTTTAAACTACGTAACGGATTTTAATGCAGTTTTTAGCAATAGTTACAGTAAATCTATAGGAAGGTTTATATTTAGGACAAGTGTATTATGTAACAGCTGATGATCATGAGTTCGCATCATCACTTAACATCAGGTGAGGTTGCGGTCAAATGTATTCAAATTTCGTAATAATAAAAAATCGAACCTATATGCTCATTTTATCATCCTCCATTGTTGGCCCTCTAGATTAATCCGGTAAGCTCTGTCAGCGCAGGCGCATCAATCCATTCATCCATAAAACCAGAAAGCTATTTCAGTCACTTAAAAAAAAACAATATTTCTAACAGACATGTATTTGTATTTAGTTTCTTACATATTATCTCTTATATTTTCAGTTTATTTATGTGTATATACATATATGCAGCTATTTATTCATATGTTTTTGTATGTTAGAGCAAGAGCCCACGACGGCCAGATATATTATATTATTAGTAATTGTGAAAGTTCTTGTATGTGTGTAACCACCACAGGTAAGATCCCCAAACATGAAAACTGGATCGTGGTACCTTTGGCAGTTAACAGGTAACAAAGGTGTAAAATATTTCATATCATATTCGGTATTTTAAGAAACTAAATTTTTTCACATATTTTTCGTAACAGTATTATTACTTGCGCTGCTCATTGCCGGACACTTAGTGTGGATCCAACCCCCGCCGGACAAAAACCACTAAACTGTATTATTTTATAAATATACGTGTTTGAATATATTACGATTATTATATATATATATATATATAATAATAATAATAATAATATATTTATTTGTCAGAATATGGTATGTACAATGGTGGTAAGTATATATAATATATGTTTCATCATATTCTGCTGTTTCCAGCGTACAAATATTAAATCAATCAAGTCATTATAAATTCTAAATATTACACATTCACAATAACTTCTTACTTTAAAAACATATTAAAGCTGAAGTTTATATATCTTAATCAGACAACTATTAAACTGTATTTCCTAAATTGCCAGACAGTTTTGTTGGTTGTATCATCCTACCAGACGCACTGATAGCGCAATTATTCTCTGCAGCATACCGATGGTTGACTGGTAGATGCCGCATGGTGTTAAGTCCGCCATATGTACTTTAAAATGATGTAATAAAGTTTAAATGTATTAAATAAATTTGACGACCTCGGTGGTCCAGCGGTCTAGTACACCGCTTTACGACCGATGGTCGCGGGTTCGATTCCTCGCACGGCACAAACATTTGTATTCATGAGTATGATTGTTTGTATCGGTCTGGGTGTTTTCTATATATAATATGTATGTATTTACAAAAAAATATATATCTATGTATTTGTATCAGTTATCTAGTACCCATAACACAAGCTTTAGCTAGCTTAACTTGGGTCTAGATGGCGCTGTGTGAATTGTTCTAAGATTATTATTATTATTATTAAATATTCTCGATGATGACGAGAATGATGATGAATATGACGTTACAGTGACGCAGAACACGACGAATCTGCACGTGTTGAACGCGACCATCGATGAATTGGACGTATCCCAAGCTGTGTTCAGGCGGCTCGTGTCTATGTCACTCACAGACGGCGATATCGGCAAGATTGTTGGTTAGTACACAAATAGAAATCATTATTGTTTTCTTCAATCTTTATTTATATGTTTATTCAAATATACTATACCTTGTGCGCTGTGCGGGTGACAGTTTCAGTAACGTATCGTTTCACTCTTGAAAGTCTCCGCCACAGTTGAAAATTTACAAATTATGACTTAATATTTCATTTGTACCATATCCGTAATATATTAAATCATTAGCTTTTGCCCGCGGCTTCGCTCGCGTTAATTTATCCCCTTAGGGGTGGAATTTATCAAAATCCTTTCTTGACATGCCTACGTCATAGTAGCTTTATGCATGCAAAGTCTCAGCCCGATCGGTTTAAAATTGACAAAGTTTCATACAAACTTTCATCCCCTATTTTATCCCCTTGGGGGTAGAATTAATCAAAATCCTTTCTTAGCGGATGCCTACGTCACAACATCTACCTGAATACCAAATTTCAGCCGGATCCGTCTAGTAGTTTGGACTGTGCGTTGATAGATCACTATATCAGTCTTTGAGTTATATATATTTAGATTAATAACTGTAGTAATTTAATTAATTCCAGCCAAAATGTTCTAGTCTACAAATAAAGACAATTGTCACCCTCACCATGCTACAGCGCACGTGGTAGATCTTTTGAATAGTCATACATATAAAATAATAAAAATTAATCTAAATTAAATCTTAAATAACCGAAAAATATTTTGTATAAATATATGTACTACATGAATATATGAATAAAGATATTTTGAATTTGAATTTAAATTTTGAATTTTGGTATTCTAATGCTGTTGGCCGCAGCTGGCTTCATTCAACGATAACGAGAGCAAATGGCACTCCAAACCTTACTTATGGAGACTCCAGACTTATGGAGACTTTAGTCTGAGGGCACCGCTAGGGGTTCGAATCTTGACTCATTTTTTTAAGTTCTCTCTCTTAATCTCTAATTTGAAGAGTGAAGATTCAGGAGTGGCGAAACTGCGGCGTCAATTATCTTGTTGTATCTGTAACACTCTATATATATACTAGCTGTCCCGGCAAACGTTGTTTTGCCTTAAAATAAAAAAAAATTTAGGGGTGGAGTACCCCTAACATTTAGGGGGATGAAAAATAGATGTTGGCCGATTCTCAGACCTCTTCAATACGCTCACAAAATTTCATGAGAATAGGTCAAGCCGTTTCGGAGGAGTATGGGAACGAAAACTGTGACACGAGAATTTTATATATAAGATATATTCCATCATGTGGGCTGTTATTTGAACTACTCATTTACTATATTTCAACATTTTCTGGCATAACCTCCAGCATCGGAACATAATGGAAGTCAAACGATTCTTACTAGTGAGTATCATCTTAAAATATATGTCAAATACATGGTAGTGTATAGGTACCATCTATTTGACATACACACTTATTTATAACTAACTGTAGCCGCGACTTCGTCCGCGTGGAATTATACTTTATTTTTCTAAAATAAAAGTAGCCTAAGTGACTCCCTATTACATCAGGTACATGCCAAAAAAAAAGTCCCGTTAAAATCGGTTCAGCCATTTCAGAGATGACCCGGAACAAACAGACCGACAGATAGACAGACAAAAATTGTAAAAAAATGTCATTTTGGTATACCTATGTACCTATGTATATTAATATTCATATGTATGTAGTAGAAAACGGTTATTTCAATATTACAAGAAAACACTCCAATTTTATTTATATGTATAAGTCTGTGGTCAATTTGAGAAGCTACATGTTTGCTTTTAATGTTATTTGTCTATAGTGTTACAGAATGTTAAACTTAAATTTAAATTAATTATGATCTAATTTCGAATACTGGGTGCCCACTAGAATATCTTTTTGTTATAAAAAAAATATATCGGTATAATATATACATTCAGTAATACTATAGACAAAAAACATTAAAGGCAAACATCGATTTTCTCAAATTGACCACAGACTTTAATTGTAAAGAAAAAAGTAATGTAAATTTATTAAATTTAAAATAATTATGATCTAATTTCGAACACTGGGTGACTATTAAAATATTTTTTTTTGTTATAAAAAAAAATATAACGGCATTACCGTGGCAGATTTCCGTAGTCAGTGCAATGATCTGACTACAGACACTATTTATATTTCTATTATTACTAGCTGAGCCCGCGGTTTTACCCGCATTAAATGTCAATAGAAATATAGCCTATATGTTATTCTGATCATCATCATCATCATCGCAGCCCGGAAGACGTCCACTGCTGGACATAGGCCTCCCCCAAAGATCTCCACGACGATCGGTCATGCGCTGCTCGCATCCAATGCCTTCCAGCGATCTTGACCAGATCGTCGGTCCACCTTGCTGGAGGCCTTCCCACGCTGCGTCTTCCGGTCCGTGGTCGCCACTCGAGGACTTTACTGCCCCAACGGCCATCTGTCCTACGAGCTATGTGCCCTGCCCATTGCCACTTCAAAGTCGCAATTCTGATGCATAAGCTATATTACTGAAGTTTCATCATAATCCGTTCCATTATAATATTACTAGTTGTACCCACGACTTCGTCCGCGTGGAATTTAACTAAAATAAAAATAGCCTCAGTTACTCCTTATTACATCAGCTATCAGCCAAAAAAAGTCTCGTCAAAATCGGTCGAGCCATTTCAGAGATTAGCCGGAATAAACAGACAGACAGACAAAAATCGTAAAAATGTATCGTATTTATATTCATAAGCGTGTAGTAAAAAACGGTTGTTTCAATATTACAAACAGACACTACAATTTTATTTATATGTATAGATGTAAGATTACATGTGTATGTTAGTCTAACAGGTATTTATAATATGGGCCAGTAATAGCTTGAAATAATATTAATAATAATCTCAGGACGATTCACACAGCGCCATCTAGACCCAAATTAAGCTACCTAAAGCTTGTGTTATGGGTCCCAGACAACTGATACAAATGCTTTTTTTTTCGTAAATACATACATATTATACATAGAAAATACCCAGACCGATACAAACAATCATACTCATGAATACAAATGTTTGTGCCGTGCGAGGAATCGAACCCGCGACCATAGAAAGTAAGGCGGTGTGCTAAAACGCTAGACCACCAAGGCCGTCAAAAAAAAAAATAATAATTTCGCAGGTCAATTCCCGAAGTACTCATCGCTAGCGTGTGTGAACATCTCCAACAACAACCTCACCAGTTCCAAGCTGCAGCCGTCTATACAGCGCCCGTTTGCGTACCTCTTCAACCTGACGGTCCTGGACGCCTCCGGGAACAACCTCACAGAGTTCCCTCTCAGTCTGGTGCATAGCAACAGGAATATCTCAGTGGATTTGTCAGGTAATCAACGTCTATGTGACAGACTCGACCCATTGGCTTTGCGGCGTGATATTGCATCTCTGTGCATTTTCTACCGCATATATCACGGGGAGTGTTCTGAGGAATTGTTCGGATTAATACCAGCTGCTGAGTTTCACCATCGTACCACCCGCCAGAAACTGAACCATCCTGATCATCTGGATGAATGGCGGTCTTCCACCGTGCGGTTTTCTAGAAACTTTTTGCCTCGCACAACCACATTATGGAATCCCCTTCCAGCAATGGTATTTCCGAACCGATACGATATTGAAACCTTCAAGAAAAGAGCTTATTCCTTTTTAAAAGGCCGACAACGTACTTGCATATCCCCTGGTGTTGCGGGTGCTCATGGGCGGCGGTAATCACTTACCATCAGGTGAGCCGCATGCTCGTTTGTCCCCTGTGTTATAAAAAAAAAGGTAAATTTTATATATAGTTCTTGTTTTATTGGAAAAAATGGTTTAAAAATTGAATACCAAACTTTAGTAATAAAAACGAAAACATTTATTATTGTTTACAGTAACTACTAATTAATAAATTGTACTATTTTTAAATAAATAATTTACTGTACTAGTTAGTTAGTTAATTAACTAAAGTAGTTTGGCTATTTATATAGCTGAATATAGAGTCACCAGGGTCACCAAACGGCTCGTTTTTCCAAGACATGTCCTAGTTATTGTAGTCCTCGTCAACCGTCTCGTTTTTCCAGGACATGTCCTAGTTTGCGTACGGCGAAAGGTCGAACCTCGGACCGCTATCAAATATTACATATTTGCCGCCATCAACAAATATCCTTAGAGATTGAAGATCGCCCAGTTATAAGACACTCTTCGAACTATAAAGAACTGGCCCACCGTCGGTGTCTCATATTAATTTTATGTCCTGTATTTTATAATTCAAAATGATAAATAGCTAGCAGTTTTTTCTGGACCTCGTTAAAATTTCTCACACTATCCGGCCCCCATCTAACAATTCTTGCCGACCACAGATCTATATATTCCATCGTGTGGTTTGTCCATATCCAATTAAAATTTCGAACTATATTTTCAGTAAAAAAATTACTATACTAGTTAGTTAGTTAATTAACTAAAATAGTTTGACTATTTATATAACTGAATTTTGTGTCGGAAATCCTAACGTTTTGTTCATCGGACTGCCTTTCTCTTTATATATATATCAACTGGACTGTAAGTCCTAACATTTTGTTCAACGGACTGCCTTTCTCTTTATATATATCAACTGGACTGTTAGTCCAGTAGATCGTGGTAAGGCAAAAAATATAAATACCAGACAGCGCAATGTTACCGTAAAAAAGATTGGCAATTCCCAACTACGCAATACTGTGAGTATCTAATCTAATCTAATAGAAATAGAAATAATCTTTATTCAAATAAACTCATTACAAGCACTTTTGAATAGTCATATTTTGATTCTACCACTCATTCGGAATGCAGATTCATCACAAGAAGAATGAGCAAGAAACTTGTGTGTTGCTCTTTTTAATAGATGTTTTTTTTTTATATAAATAATTACAGTATAACAAGTAAGAGGCATGCGATAATCAACATAGAAGTCGCTACGCACTCATTATTAATGTAATCAGATAATATTGTCAGTGCTATAGATTTAAAGTTTTTCTATAAAAACATTATTATCGTTAACGAATTCTTCAATTTTATAGTAAGCTTTTTTGCAAAGGAACTGTTTTATTTGACATTTAAATCTTTTTCTGGCAGATTTATAACAGACTCTGGTATTTTATTGTAAAACCTTACGCAATTGTCATAAAACGAATTACTAACTTTAGCCAAACGACATTTAGGTAAAATCAGTTTGTTATTGTTACGTAAGCTTTTATTAGTGCAATCACTAACTCTTTTGAAACTGTCTATATTCCTTCTGGCATAGATGATATTTTCATAATATAAAGTGCTTACTTACTAAGAATAATTTTCACATTTGTGTTTTCTCTCTTTCATAAATAAAAAAATACTACATGATTGTGTACTGTTTTTTTTTTTCTTTTTTATTTAATTCTAATATTTAGGGACTTTTATACAATCTAAGTATATGCCAGTTCCATTGTACCCTAAAACTCATCACTCTATTACCTCACTAGTGAACAAATTGCCTTAGCCGAACTGTCTGAAGGATAGACTAAAACAGTTTGTACTGAAGTATGCTGTTTAATTTATGATTTCAATAACTATGTAATTGGTAGATCGCACAGGGTTTCAATACTAAACAGATCTTGGGTCTTATCAAGATGGCCACCTCTGGTGTACCCCCTTCAACAGAGGTTACGCTTTTTCGTGACCGAAAATTGGGTTAATTAGGATTTCCGGTTACGAAAAATTTACCCGTTCTATATGGAAAATTCACTTCAAACTTTCCAATTTCAGGGAACAAGTATCTTCCATGCAAGCACTTCCAGAAAGCGATGTACGAGACCAACAACAGTTCCCTGGTGACCTTCCTCCACTATAATCAGACATACTGCGCACTAGACCTGGAGTTCAACTGGTTCAAAGATGTGCAGATTGTGCTGATCGACCATCTGCGGGTGCAGAAAGAGGTTGGTGACTCCAAGACACTTCATTATTTGATCTATTCTAACCACACAGAGTTCCCTATCAGTCTGGTGTATAGCAGCAGCAATAAACACCTATATAAATAGACATTGTAAATAGTCTGGTTTCTAAAAAGACCTTGGTGGTATAGCGGTCCAGCACACCGCTTTAGAAATAGAAATAGAAATAGAAATAGAAATAATCTTTATTCAAATAAACTCATTACAAGCACTTTTGAATAGTCATATTTTGATTCTACCACTCATTCGGAATGCAGATTCATCACAAGAAGAATGAGCAAGAAACTTGTGTGTTGCTCTTTTTGATAGATGTTTTTTTTATATAAATAATTACAGTGTAACAAGTAAGAGGCATGCGACAATCAACATAGAAATCGCTACGCACTCATTATTAGTGTAATCAGATAATATTGTCAGTGCTATGTATTTAAAATTTTTCTACAAAAACATTATTATCGTTAACGAATTCTTCAATTTTATAGTAAGCTTTTTTGCAAAGGAAGTGTTTTATTTGACATTTAAATCTTTTTCTGGCAGATTTATAACAGACTCTGGTATTTTATTGTAAAACCTTACGCAATTGCCATAAAACGAATTACTAACTTTAGCCAAACGACATTTAGGTAAAATCAGTTTGTTATTGTTACGTAAGCTTTTATTAGTGCAATCACTAACTCTTTTGAAACTGTCTATATTCTTCCTGGCATACATGATGTTTTCATAAATATATTGAGAAGCAACGGTGAGGATATTTGATTCCTTAAAGCACTCTCGCAAAGACTCCCTGGAACCCATGCTATAAATGGAGCGAATGGCCCTCTTTTGTAAAATAAATATTGTATTTATATCAGCTGCTTTGCCCCATAACAAAATACCATACGACATAATGCTATGGAAATAACTAAAGTACACAAGTTTAGCTGTTGCCACGTCTGTTAATTGTCTAATTCTTCTTACCGCATAAGCGGCAGAACTAAGTCGACTCGCTAATTTAGTAATATGGGCACCCCATTGCAACTTGGAATCTAATGTGATACCTAGAAATACAGTATCATCCACAAAATTAATAGGTTTATTGTCCAACATGATTTTTGAATCTACCGGTCTTACATTGGGGAGAGTAAATTTGATACATTTAGTTTTATTTGCATTTAGTAACATATTATTAGCCGTAAACCATTTTAAAACATAAGAAAGAGCACCGTTTACTTCGTCCAAATCATCAATATGTCGATTGACTTTGAATACTAATGAAGTATCATCAGCAAACAGAACTATGTCAGCTATCTTTTCTACCATATAAGGAAGATCATTTATGTAAACTAAAAATAAGAAAGGACCTAAAATAGAGCCCTGAGGAACACCCATTTTAATACTAGTTCCTTCAGACTTTACACCATTTATTTCGACAACTTGCATTCTATTATTTAGATAGGATTTCATCATGCTTTGTGCTTCATATCTAATACCGTAATGTTCAAGTTTGAGCAAAAGTGTTTCATGTTCAACGCAATCAAATGCTTTTGAAAGATCGCAAAATACACCGACTGCATCCTGAGACCTCTCCCAAGAATCAAATATATATTTAATGAGAGCTACACCGGCATCAGTAGTTGATTTACCGGCCGTGAAACCAAATTGTCGACTGTGAAGCAGTTTATTTACTTTAAAGTGTTGTAGCATTTGATTGAGCATAATTTTTTCAAACACTTTACTCAATACTGGTAAGATAGATATAGGCCTATAATTACCTACCACAGTTTTTTCTCCTGACTTAAAGAGTGGAGTTATTTTGCTATGTTTCATTAAATTGGGAAAAACACCGTCAGAAATACATTTATAAATAATTACTAAATATGGAGCAATAACATCTATAGCGGTGTTAATAACTTTAACAGACATGCCCCAATGGTCTTCAGTATTTTTTAAATTTAATTGTTTAAATGTTTTAGTAATTGTAGCAATGTCAATAAATGTAAATTTAAATGTAACCGGACAAGAAACAACATTATCAATAAGGAATGATTTAGCTGTACCAGGAGAAGAGTCCAAAGAGGAAGTAATATCAGTTGGAATATTAGCGAAAAAATTTTCAAAAATATTGACAATTTCTTTTGTGGACGTTACTAGTTTATATTATAATTTAGCGTAAAATCGTTATATGGACTTTTAACTTTGCCAGTTTCTTTGTTAATAATATTCCACACTGTCCTTATCTTTCCTTGGACTCTTTAATTTTTTTATTTAGATAATTAGACTTTGCTACATTACATACCTTTTTAAAAGTTTTTGAGTATCTTTTTACATAATTTACGAATGTACTATCGAAACGGTATTTTTTTGAGCATATAAATCAAATAATATATTTCTACTTTTAAGAATTCCCTTTGTAGCCCATTCTGAAAATTTTGTTTTGTTAATAATACTGATAGTTTTTTTGTTAAAAGCCTTATTATATTCGTTAGAAACAATATTGAAGAAATCTGTATAAAGTTTGTTAGGTTCATTAGATGGAAGATAAAAATCTAATTTACTACGAACTGATATTTTAAATTTATTTATCTTATAACTAGTCAAGTCTCTTTTTAATAAATTAATTTTCCCAATTTTGTTTATGATTTGGAAAAATAACTATTTGACCACAGTGATAGAAGGAAGGTTGTTTATTATTATTTTATCTAAATAGTCACTATTGCTAAATATGTTATCCAAGCAAGTAGCAGACGTGGCAGTGATACGAGTGGGTTCGTGGAAGACATTACTCAAGTCAAAGGATTGAAATAAACTCATTAATTTAGTTTTTGTGGTATTTGTGATAAAATGTCAACATTGAAATCACCACACACTATTTTTTTTGTTAATATTAAAATTTTTAAAATATCCTCCATTACCTCTTTAATAAATTATAAATATTTGAGGTCTATTTATATAACTATATAATTGTCTAGTTCCAACAGGAAATTTTACAACATTCAACAGAAAGATCAATATCACTGCCTTTTACTTTTATATATATCACCAATATCATAGAACCTCCTCTATTTACTATTTTGTTTAAAGCAGCTGACAATATTCTCTTTATATATATCATATTGGACTTTGAGCCAATGTTCAGTTAAACATAGAAAATATTATTTTTACTAAAAACAATTGAATAATTAATTCACGTAAAAAATGTTCTGGTGAACAATTTTCAATTCTGATAGCTTTCCCTTTGTCTTTTTCACAGTTTAAATAGAAGTCATATTTAAATTTTTGTAAATAAAAGGACTCATTACTAGAATCAATATTTATGTCAATATTTTCAGTATGTTTAGTATTAACATTAGTACAAGTACTACTAATTGGATTAATGCAACCCATTATATTCTTATAACAAGATTTATATTATGAGCTAGTAAACTAGCTATATTTCTTATTTGTTTTTTAGGCAGATAAAATCTATCTCCAGTCATACAAAAGTTTGTAACAAATTTGTTACTATCAAAAATAAAAAGTCATTATGACGACATGTCATATTATAAATTAAATTATTAATATAATATATGAACTTATTTTGTTCAATGGTCATAACAAGTAAGGAAATGCACATAATATTATTTTACCTATGCCCAGCTCAGCAATATTAAGCAAAGAGTTTACAAGTTTAATTACATGACTTTTTTTTACATCAGTTGCCTAAAGCTATGACTAATGTGGTTAACTTATCATACCTACCATTGGACCTTATTTAAAATATTTTCAATGAAGCAAAAGACAATTATTTATGACATGTTGATATAGACTTTCTGATAATGAACGGCCCAGACCCTTACCATATTCATCTGAATAAATAATTGTTTTATTGGTGCAACATTACAATTATCAGTTTTTAAAGACAAGTTAGATTTAGTAAACTAGAACAAGGAGTGATTGACTCAGTCAAAACCGATGTGATTGACTTGTTATTTCCATTAGGGCTATACTGACAAGATTTAGGAGATTAGGTGTCTCACAACAACATTTCTCTGTCAATGAGGTAAACCGCTCCATGTTGTAATTTCCCAACTCTATTAATTTATCCACGATTTACTATAATTATTAATTTCAAGTTGAGCACACTCATATTTTTTGTTAAATTAGATAATGAAGATTCTAACTCTTGAATTTTACTCTTTAATTTATTTTGTTCTAAATAATGTAAATTTGTTTTACAATTTTGAAGTTCTTGTAACAGGTCTAATTTTTGTCTTTAATAATTATAGATTTTAAACATTTAGTATGAGTTCTCACTAACTTTTCTGACTTTTTAATAAATTTGTTTATTTTTATATATTTTTTTAATTTGTACACTATTAAATTGACTAATACAACTGTTTGAGCTGGGTGTATTAGTTAAATCTATGGTCACCAACGGCTGAGTAGACTTTTGATCACAAGTGACATTTAACAATTCTGTATACAGATCTAAGGTGTTATTGTAGCTAAAACAGTTTGTGTTACATAGAACTATGCTGTTTCCTCAAGGTGTCTCTCGAGGTGAGTGATACGCTGTAAATTTGACTCATATGTGTCCCTGCAGTGATCATATTCATTAACAAGTTAAACAAGTCTATCCCTGTGCGTAGGTCCTCACAGAACACATTGTTCTACAAGTTCCCCTTCAGGGCCACATATTTGTCAAATAGAGATTTCATCTCTATTTCACTATTTCCCGTTCCTGTAACAACACTTTATTCAAGTCTTGGGTTTTCTTTAATTATGCCACCTTAAGTTTAGCATCAAGATCACAGGCTCTTCGGGACATCATTATTAAATATGCTGAGTAATTAATTTAAATATAAAGGAACTTAATGGAATTTAGAATGTGTGCTATTTCCTTACAATTTATTTATTTTATATATAAACCCTATGTAATATGTAATATGTAAGTAATTTTAGTAAATTTGTTAATTATAAATAACAATACTAAATATTATTACTTGTAAGAATGGGTTTCTTGGGGTATTACACAAGCGCCAATAAGAGAATTAAAATCAACCAATTCTAGAAGATTCAGTATTGTTATTGAAATATATATAAATAACTATTTAAATTAGGAAAGTTTCACTCTCTTGTTGTGTATTTTAATGTAAGAATTAATTATATTTCAGTTAGTACTTACAATATTTGGTTAGTGGGTAATTTTTTTTTTTCCTCGACGCACAACTTGAATTCACTTTTAAAATTACCACAATATTAACATGTAACACAAAATAAGTAATAATAAAGGAATGTTATAATAATTTAAATTGAATTACGCGATAACATGTACAAGATTGATGTAAATATAAGTTTATTACGAACTTTGACAGTTGACCGGTAAGAAATATTTATGTGTCGATTTTTGTACACAAATACTATATAAAAATGAACACAAACAACAATCGATACTTTTTATAGCTTAAACTCACTAATTATATCAATTACACTAAAAAAATTATAATAAATTAGATAAAAGTATTTAATTATTAGGCCAGCTGACTAAAGACAGTTATCGGTAATGTTGCCAGTCGAGAAAAAAACACCGCTTTATATCCAATGGTCGCGGGTTCGATTCGCACGGCACAGACATTTGTATTCATGAGTATGGTTGTTTGTGTCGGTCTGGGTGTTTTCTATGTATAATATGTATTTATTTACGAACAAAAATATATCTATGTATTTGTATCAGTTATGGGTACTACCCAAGCTTTAGCTAGATTAACTTGGGTCTAGATGGCGCTGTATGAATTGTCCTGAGATTATTATTATTATTATTATTAAAAAAAAATAGACAATTCAATTGAGTTCTTGTCAGTTCTTATCAATTGAATCTGTATACTGAACTGGACGGTAGGGTAAAAACATATAATATAAAAAGCGACTAAAATGTCCTACATGAATAAATGAATTTGTTCTTTGCCCGCTTTACCACCCACATGAAATTTCTGTTGTATAAGCTATATTACTGCAAAAATCATCAAAATCCGTTCAGTACTTTTTGCGTGAAAGAGCAACAAATAGCGGATGGCTATTCGCTCTTTCACGCAAAATGTGTCGCTCACAAACTTCTTTCGCTTCACTTGGCGTTTATAATATTAATAAGAGAGTGAAACTTAAGTAGCTAAAATCATGATGTACAGCTCAACGCCAGTTGCCGAAGAATGGAACCTGAGAATATCAACTGCACTTGCGTGTTGGAACGTCTGGAGCTGGTGGGGGAAGAGGTGACCAACCTGGTCGCTGTGGACTGCTCCCAGCGACACCTGAAGAGGATGCCCACCAACCTGCCTCCGAATACAGTGAAGCTCAATATATCTTACAACAATGTGAGTGGACCCATTCCTTACTAGTACCCATTGCTTACTATTTCTACATTTAATTGTAATATTTGCGCGTCCGTACTGAAAATCAGCGCTGGAAACTATTTCCAGCATTATACTGAGTTGTGGCCCACATTGACTCCGTTTTTTTAATGAGTAAATTATTCTTGTATTTCTTATGTTATTACTGTAAAAACGAGTTAATAAAAATTCTATTCTATTCTACATTACCCTGCATTACGTTCTGTATTCGGAAAGCAGTTTCGGTCCTATAGTGATTATTAATTGATCATTGATCGATGGCGTCGGTGATCTAGCTGTTTGGCACACCGCTTTATTTCCAGTGGTCGCGGGTTCGATTCCTCGCACGATGCAAACATTTGTATTCATGACTATGATTGGTCTCTAACTATGTATGTATTTAGAGGATAAAAAGTAACTAAGTATTTATATCAGTTGCCTAGTACCCATAACACGAGCTCTGCTTACCGTGGGACTAGATGGTGCTGTGTTAATTGTCCAGGGTTATATATTATGTGTACATATGTATATTACGTATATATTTAAAAAAATATCTAAGTATTTATATCAGTTGTCTAGTACCCATAACACGAGCTCTGCTTACCGTGGGACTAGATGGCGCTGTGTTAATTGTCCAGGGTTATATATTATGTGTACATATGTATATTACGTATATATTTAAAAAAATATCTAAGTATTTATATCAGTTGCCTAGTACCCATACATAACACATGCTCTGCTTACCGTGGGACTAGATGGTGCTGTGTGAATTGTCCAGGGTTATATATTATGTGTACATATGTATATTACGTATATATTTAAAAAAATATCTAAGTATTTATATCAGTTGTCTAGTACCCATAACACGAGCTCTGCTTACCGTGGGACTAGATGGCGCTGTGTTAATTGTCCAGGGTTATATATTATGTGTACATACATATGTAAGGCAAAACGTTTACATACATATGTACACATAATATATAACCCTGGACAATTAACACAGCGCCATCTAGGCAACTGATATAAATACTTAGATATATTTTTAAATATATACGTAATATACATTATTACGTATATATTAAAAAAAATATCTAAGTATTTATATCAGTTGTCTAGTACCCATAACACAAGCTCTGCTTACCGTGGGACTAGATGGCGTTGTGTTAATTGTCCAGGGTTATATATTATTATTTATTATTAATTGAAATGTTATCTTTGATTGCAGATAACATCGCTTCAAGCAGTAGGCGATGATCCCACATATGAACACCTTCGGCAGCTGATAGTGGACTACAACGATATAGTGAACATCGTGGAGCTGGAGGGCACTAAGTTCATAGACAACTTCATCTTCTTCTCCATTGTACACAATAAACTTAAAACTGTGAGTATGAAGTCTAATTATTACTAATGTATTTATATTACTTGAATGACGAGCGTGCATGGCAATAGTTGTTCATGCTCGGGATTTTCATTTAATAGAATAGAAAATCATTTATTCAAATAAACTTACATTGAAGCACTTTTGAATAGTCATTACATTTTTCTAATCTACCGCTCGTTCGGAAAGCTGTCTCATCACAAGAAGAATGAGCAAGAAACTTGCGTGTTGCTCTTTTAAATAATTTATTATTACTTTACATTTTTAAGTTTAAGTGTGTGAATACAAACCACCAATTAGCACTAATGTTACCTACCGTCCAGTTCAGTATATATGTTTGGGAAACTACTCTGCTACCAAATGATGATGATAAATGATGATACAGGGTATATTTTAAACAATATACATCCAATTGAGAAGAACTGGCAAGATATTCAATTGAATGTTTTATTCATTTTCTTTAAAAGCCAGTTTATTTACAATGTATATTTATATAGGTGTCTATGTCTAAACAAAGCATCATCAGGCATTAAAATCTTATATATAAAATTCTCGTGACACAGTTTTCGTTCCCATACTCCTCCGAAACGGCTTGACCGATTCTCATGAAATTTTGTGAGCGTATTGAGTAGGTTTGAGAATCGGCCAACATCTATTCTTCATCCCCCTAAATGTTAGGTGTAGTCCACTCCAATTTTTTTTTTATTTTAAGGTATAACGTTTGCCGGGACAGGTAGTTGTTATTATATTTTTATACAAGAACTTTGTTTTTTTTTTATCTTAAATCGTCAACATGTGTTTATATTTTTTAATTTCTTTTGTTTGATTTTCTTGTTCGTTTTTTTATGTAATGATTTGTATTGTGTTACATATTTCTATTTATATGTTATAACTAGCTGTTCCCGTGACTTCGTCTGCTTGGAATTTAAGTTTATTTTTCTAAAATAAAAGTCCCGTCAAAATCGGTCCAGCCATTTCAGAGATTAGCCGGAACAAACAGACAGACAGACAAAAATTGTAAATAATGTTATTTTGGTCTACGTAATGTATTTATATTTATATGCATGTAGTATAAAACTGTTATTTCAATATTACAAACATACACTCTAATTTTATTTATATGTATAGATTTATATGTGAGCTGTGAGGATCATCATTGTTGTGTTGTGATGAGTGATTGTAATATATATTATTCTATTCTATTCTATTCTAACAGATCCACACATATGTGCTATGGAATCGTTTCGACACTACGGGCCCTACTTTCTTGATAGCAGGCAATCGTATACACTGCGATTGTAACACTGAAAAAATGCTAAAGGTATGTAACAAAAAGTTCATCAAAGAGGATGGTTATTTCGACTTAACTTAAATGTTTTTGGTTTCAAGCTGGATACCTTATATTTTTAATGATTTTTTGTTACGTATATTTAAATCTTGAATCCAAAACTGTTTGTCTATTTGTGAGTTAAGATTTAACGTAAAAAGTTAAAAAGTTACATGATTAGGAGGTATAAGGGACATGAAAGTCTGCATGTTATTTAAATATAAGTAGAGAAAACAGGGTTGTAAGGACTTGAAAGTAGACAGATGAAAGGTTGTATGGAAGTCTCGTCATTTTTAAAGTTAGAGCTTTGAATATTTTTTGAGGTTGTTGATGAAATATAAATAATTATGACATTATTTCAATGCGGCTCATCGAGGTTACTTGTGACCCGAGAGCTGGTAGCTATTTTGCACAAAGGCTAAGTATGGCCATTCAAAGAGGCAACGCTGCCAGTATCTTGGGTACGCTGCCTCGATGTGCCGCGTTGGATTACAGTGATTGTTTGTATTAATTATGTAAAAAAAATCTCGAATTATATACATATTATTATATATTACATTATGACATTCCACATCTGTAAAAATTTAACCTAAAGTTTGTATGGAAAATCGTTATTTTTGAAGCAGAACGATTTCTTTCTTTGGAATATTTCTTTATTTGATTATGTCAAAATACTATTTTATATCAACACGCAGTCGATGTCGCAGGCACAACACATATTACCATACTATATAACAGTTTTGTATCAAAATCTAAAACGCACGGTGGAAGATTGTGGAAAGTGGCAAGAACTTCGCCGACAACATCGTTTCTCTTAAAATATGAATTAATGTGACAGTTGATAGAATCCAGATTAATTTTATATTTTTATTTTTATTTCTCTATCTACCCAAAGGTAGTCTGGAAGAGATTGCTTAGCGATAAGACCGCCTTTTGTATAATTTTTTCTCTGTAATTGGTGCAATATACAGTATAAATAATAATAAATAATTTTCAGCCGTGGCTACAGGAAAACTTCAAAAACATACCGGACTACAAAAGTCTAGAATGCCAGGACAACATGGGTGCTGTGGTGGAACTAATTGAGTCACGTGTCTGCCACACGCCCCGAGATTGGACAGATTATATCTATTACATCATAGGTTTAGAAGTTTTAATACTAGTTCTACTTATTAGTAAAGTCTCTTATGACTACTGGGTGTTTAAGACAGCAGGCTACTTGCCGTGGCCTGCAAACAAAATGCCGAGGCTGCCGTGTGACTGGCTGTGCGAGTGAGATGGAAGACATCTATTGGGATTCCAAGGAATGTAATACATTCAGCCATGTGTTTAATGAATGTGGTAGTGTTAATCGGTTTTAAAAAGAAAACGGGATCATTTTTTTTAAATATTTGTTATACATTTTGTATAAATTATGAAGTAAAAGATATTTTGTTATCTGTTCTATTTGAAATCAGAATTAAAAGGATATTTTTATCAAATTTGATAATATTAAAAATCTTATAATATTATAAATATAAAGAAAATGTAATATAGAAATATGTGTTTTAGAATATGTTAGAGATCTCTTGTGTTAAATATGTTGTAAATTTTAATGTATATGTATATAAATGTTGCTGTATAATTAAGTATGAATTAATATACAAGTCCCAATTTTGAAGTAGTATGTAGTTATTGACCGTTTGTTTGGAATCTCCAAATATCTCGATTATATAAAAAACATGCATAGCATTTTCAGGAAGAATGTCGTAATAAGGAAATCTTAAAATTATAGGAAATATTATCATTTTTATAATCTCAACTTATGGTCACTAATATGCAGCAAAGAGTTTGAATGAAATTATTTTGTCTATCGTAAGCAGAGTTATATATTTTTTAATTTATTGGGCATTGGCGATATAGGCAGATTTTTTTTTATTTTTTGGTTTTTCATATAAGCGGAGACAATGAAGTTTTTTTTTTTTTTTAGTTTTTTACACACATATTTTCTTTTTTTAATTTCGGGACGCAGATTTTTTTTTAAAGACATCGCAGAGACAATAAAATATTTTTTCTTGTTATTTTTTAAATTTAAATAATTACGACATTTTTCCTGTAATATTGTAAATCAAAGTAGTAAAACAGAAATAGTGGACTTTCATATCCGCATATATTGTGTGTTTGGAATTATGAGGCTAAGCGTAATTATTATTTAAAATGTTGATCGATGTAGTATTTTTTTTTAATTTAAAAAGCACAGTTTACTCTCTCCCATTCATCTAATAGTGACTTTTAAACTGAATGTAAAATTATATTACATTTACATTTATAAGAGGCTTACATCAGTTGAGAAATCAATTATATACTAGTTTTTATTTTCAGGTGCCATAACATTCAGCTGGCAGTTTAAATATATTTTCTATAAATTATTCTGATGCATTACTAAATTCAAATTTGAATCATTTTGCAAATGTACTAACATTTTCAAATTGGTACTAATAAAAAAAATATATAAGATAGACTTTTTATGACTATATTATTATCATTACACCGTGTAAAACAAAGTCGCTGTCGTTGTCTGTCCGTTCCTATGTGTGCTTTAAATCTTTAAAACTACGCAACGGATTTTGAAGCAGCTTTTTTAGATAGAGTGCTCCAAGAGGAAGGTTTATATGTATAATACATGTACACCCGGGCGAATGGGTAATAAATAATAAAGATATTTGTAAATTATTTTTAGTACAAGCATTAGTTTTATTCATAATAGTTACGTTTAGTAATGCATCTGAATTGTGGTTATTCTATTATATTCTATTAAGTTTAACAGATTAAAATGATATAGATTTTTGTAAATAAATACAATCAAGACTGTATATTTCGTAAGAGTTTATATAATTATAATAAAATATTTTATTATAAATTGTTTTTTTTTTATCCTGCAAAGTCAGTTCGGAAATTAGTCCCTGATTTATCAAATAGAGCAAACACAAGTAAACAAGTGTTTGAAAAAACACTATCCTACCTGTACTAGGATCACATAAATTACGTACAAACTTGTTTAGTACTGCTTTACGTAACAATTATACGAAGAGGGACGACGAGAGTTTGAAAGTACAGAAATGTTAATGTACTAGGAGAGCATGTATTTACAGTGACAAATTTGTTAATTTCTGCATTACGTAACCATGAGGAAGAGGGACAACGATATGACAGTTGAGTTTGATAGTGCTAAAGTGAGAGATGTACAATATCCTATCTGTACTAGGAACACATGAATTAGCAGCTACAAACTTGTTTACTACTACTTTACGTAACAATTATACGAGAGGAACGATAATAGTTTGAAAGTACAGAAATGTTAATGTACTAGGAGAACATGTATTTACAGTGATAAATTTGTTAATTTCTGCATTACGTAACCATGAGGAAGAGGGACAACGATATGACAGTTGAGTTTGATAGTGCTAAAGTGAGAAAGAGATGTACAATATCCTATCTGTACTAGGAACACATGAATAGTAGTAAACAAGTTTGTAGCTGCTACTACAAACTTGTTTACTACTACTTTACGTAACAATTATACAAGAGGAACTATAAGAGTTTGAAACAGAATGTAACAGAAATGTTAATGTACTAGAACATGTATTTACAGTGACAAACATGTTAATTTCTACATTACGTAACAATGAGGAAGAGGGACAACGATATGATCGAGTTTGATAGTGCCAAAGAAAGAAAGAGATGTACAATATCCTATCTGTACTAGGAACACATGACTTAGCAGCTACAAACTTGTTTAGTACTGCTTTACGTAACAATAAGTGGGACGACGAGAGTTTGAATGTACAGAAATGTTAATGTACTAGGAGAGCATGAATTTGCAGCGACAAATTCAGCTTTACGTCACAATAAGAGGAGAGGGACGACGATAGACAGTTGGAATTTGATAATGCTAAAGAAAGAATGAGATGAACATCAGAAAGAATACTTATTAAAAAACAAATTTTAGGCATTCCACAGAAATTTCTTGGCTAGCGGTTGCAATCTCACGTAATGATTTATAATAAATTTTTTTTTCTATGTTACTTTTATTAATATTTTCTTTTTTTTTTCGTTTAATCCTTACCAGTCAGTTAAAATTATACCAATTATCCTCTGAACTATTTACATTATTTTTATTATACACACACACCGCACAGACAATCACCAATAATATTGCTCTTTTTTTATATATTTATTTTAATAATTATTTTCACGTTTCAAATGGGTTAAAGCTGAAAATCAGTGTTTTATTCCCCTGAACAATGTTCCACTCTGAGCTTCGACATTTTTGTATTGCTACAGATCACACATAATAACACAATTTTATAAATCTTATGTCGTATTATGTATTGTCTATTCTTATGAACATGTTGTGTGTGATTAGTAACAAACAAATAAACGATATATCTACCTATCTATCTATCTAGATGTACAATATCCTATAGGAACACATGCATTAGCAGCACCTATCTATCTATCTAGATGTACAATATCCTATCTGTACTAGGAACACATGCATTAGCAGCACCTATCTATCTATCTAGATGTACAATATCCTATCTGTACTAGGAACACATGCATTAGCAGCACCTATCTATCTATCTAGATGTACAATATCCTATCTGTACTAGGAACACATGCATTAGCAGCTACAAAGATTTATGTAACAATTGGGAAGAGGGACGACGACGGCAGTGGTACGGTTGTACATACATAATAAAAGAGGTAATTTCATAAACATTACATATATTTAAAATAACATCATTTACTAGTTTTCTTCACTTTATTCGCGAGCACTTTCTTCTTTCTTCTCTTGAGATTAGATTTCTTTTTATTCCTATTGCCATTATTTTTGTTTGCTTCACCAGATATTTTACTATTTCTATTATTTTTGTTTCCTTCAACTGCATTTATTTTCCTAAGTTTATTATTCTTTCCGCTTTTGACTATGTTCGTGTCTTTTGTTTCAGCTTTGTCTGTATGTTTGTCACCTTCCAATTTCCTCCTGTGAATTAAGTAGAGTAATAGTAATTTATGTTAATTAGTTCTACATGTGGTGGTAAACGGTAGTCTACGTAACCTATGGATGCCTGAAACACCAAGGATGCTATGTGGACCTCTTAGACCCTTAAGAAAAGGGGGCAAGAGGATTGTTAGTAATGTGGACTAATAACCCCATTGTTAGCAATGTACCATGTCAGGTTGACCTTCATGTGGTGGAAACCATCGCGATAAATTCATGGTGAATTTACCACCATGAGCTAACTGACCTGACCTTATGCTCATCTTATCATCCTCCACTGGTGCCCTGCCAGCGTAAACAGCGCAGGCGGGTGCACCATTCCATTATCATCCATAAGACCCTTAAGAAACCTTTCATTTGTAGTGCCCGAGAGAGTATTACAAAACAGTACAAGCACTCACTTGCTGGGTTTCTCGAGTGCAGTGGATATTTTGTCGCGGTGCGGTGCCTTCTTCATAAGTTTCTTCCTGCGGTTCGGGTCCTGTTTGAGTTTCAGCATGTACTCTGGTACATCGCAGCCGGATTGTTTCATTACAGATGCAATGCTGAAATGGGTTTAATAAATAGACACTTAAGGTTGAATTTCCTTGTGTTGGTGTCTAGAGATAGTCTAGTAATGTGTCATATATATAGTCATTTCTTCATATAGGATTGATGGCCTCGATGGTCTAGCCGTTTAGCACATCGCTTTACTACCGACGGATCACGGGTTTGATTCGCGCACGATTAAAATATTTGTATTCATGTGTATGATTATTTGTATTGGTCTGGGTTTTTCTATACATATTATATATGTTATTAATAAAAAAACTATTTATGTATTTATATCTGTTTTGTAATACCCACAAGCAGCGCCATCTAATCGAACTCGGGACCACCGAAAACACCCGAAAACACATAGACCGATACATACAATCAATAAAAATGTTTGTATAGTGCGATATCGAACCCGCGACTATCGGAATTAAAGCGGTCTTGTAAACTAGGCCAATCAGTCATTAATACAAAAGTTTGTACCGTGCGAGGTATTGAACCCGCGACTATCGGAATTAAAGCGGTGTGCTAAACAGCTAGGCCAATCAGTCATTAATACAAATGTTTGTATTGTGCGATATCGAACCCGCGACCGTCGTAAGTAAAACAGTGTGTTAAAAAGGTAGGCCAATCAGTCATTAACACAAAAGCTTGTACCGTGCGAGGAATCGAACCCACGACTATCAGAAAGCGCTGTGCTAAACCGGCAAACCACCGAGGCCTGTACTTTGGACTCTTGGACATACCTCCTGAGGTTCACAACGTCATCTTGTGTGAAGAACGTGATGGCGCGTCCTCTTTGACCAGCGCGGCCCGCGCGGCCGATTCTGCAAACGTATATAATGCCAAATCTATACATATAAATAAAATTCGAGGTGTCTGTTTGTAATATTGAAATAACCGTTTTTTACTACATGCATATGAATATAAATACATACACCAAAATAACACGTTTTACAATTTTTGTATGTCTGTCTGTTTGTTCCGGCTAATCTATGAAATTGCTTGACCGATTTTGACAGGACATTTTTTGGCAGGTAGCTGATGTAATAAGGAGTAACTTAGGTTACCTTAATTTTATCAAAATTCTTTTAGTTTTTCTTAAAAAATTCATGTTAGCGCAGGGAGGTGCACAATTCCATTATCATTCATTAAAAAAAATGAGTATTCTAATTGAAGCTAAAACGATATGAGGGTAAAACACCGACCTGTGTATATATGCGATGGCGGAGGGCGGGAAGTCATAGTTGATGACGAGGTTCACTCCGCGGAAGTCGATCCCGCGCCCCATCAGCTCCGTACATATCAGCACCCATATGCGGCCCACGCGGAAACTACGCACCACGTTGTCACGCTATAATTTTATTAAAATTTAATTTTCTATAATTATTAACTTTTATATTGTTTGCGCCTGTATACCTATTTTCCTTTCCTTACGTCCTCTCCACATCTATCTCTTTCCTTGGCAAGGAATCTGAAAAGGACAGAGATGTTTCGCTCGAGCCCGATCGGCGAGACTCGGGCTGTCGCGCACGTAGTCATTCGGAGATCGTTGAACGGATCATAGTTTTTCATCCGCATTAAAATTAGTATTTTTGGACAATATATAAACTGATTTAGTATATTTTTGCATATAGACAATATTTGTGTGTTGTGAAGTGTCATAGTGTGCTGGTGCAGCATAGTACAAGAACGAGAGGACGGCCGGCCTCCGGGAAGACATCGAGTAATCCAGGTACCTTGCCTCCTTTCATCCTAAAAATCAAATATACAGTCCACTTCCACTTTCCATTTTCATTTGCGCATTTTATACACCATATATTATCCCTCGAAATTTATTTATTTATACTTTATTAAACAAAAAATTTTGTACAACAGGTGAGGTTATTGCCGTATGGTATTCTCTCTCAGCTAACCTTAGGGTATAAACAGAAAGCGCTATGTCGTATTAGCGAGAGCTGTTTTAAATTTACTTTTGTCATTGGAAATAAAATCTTTTAATTTCTAAGTTATAAAACATTAAATATTACTTTAATTAATTTATAAATTTAAAAAAATCAAAGACATTGGAACCATGTGGCATGTGGTGTGTATAATATAATATATTATACATAGAACACTTAGACCGATACAAACAATCATACTCATAAATATTTGCACCGTGCGAGGAATCGAACCCGCGGCCATCAGAAATGGGACGGTGTACTAAACCGCTAGACAACCGCAGCCACATGGTTCCAATGTCTTTGAATTTTTTTATAATTTATATATGTGTAGCATATCCTACTTGTTGTGCTGACCGTCCCAGTCCTCTGTCTCGCTCTGAGTTTGTCTAATCTAGACTGATCTAGTTTCACTGCTTTTGCTGTTTGATTTACTTAGAGTGAATGAAATACAGGGGGATTGAAATGCGTTATAAGAGTACCGTGTTATAAAGGGGGTTACCTTTATAACACGGTACTCTTATAACGCATTTCAATCCCCCTGTATAACTTGGGCTTCATATAAAGCGTGATTTCCTTCTATATTGAAATTTATAATTTTTTATTTATTTTATTTATTTATTTAATTAACACAATATAAACTTACAGCTAATTGCCAACACGTTTATATTTTAAAACTATTTATACTACTTAAAATTATACGATGATAAATATATACTTATTTTAGTAATTATGGAAGGCAAGGCTTCTGTATAAACGTCAGCATCTTGGACCTTACCTAAAAATAAATTTAAAAAATGCAATGCTCTCATAGTGGGAGAATTGCTAGCGTGGCTTGTGCACCGACGCGGTTGCAAACAGTCGGACACGACGACGAGTGACACTTCTCACGTAATTCGGAGGGATATTGAATCCTATCCGTTCTACAACTGCGGGATTATCTATTTGGTTGCGCAGCAGCAAACAGTAGTGGACAGCAAGTACTAGTTTCCTTCTAAGTAGTAATAAGTTCTAAGTTGCAATATCAATGCAATAAGTATAAGGTTAAAAAAACAACTGAGTATAGCATGAGACAAACAACTATAAATAAGTACATATATTGAACCGGTGGTATGCAACTATTATGGTGAGAGAACATGAAGGTACACGACGCCACGAATATTCAATAAAATTTATAACGTAAACGATTGTTCAAGTAAAGAGATAATTAAATTTAAATTGATAAGATGGTTACTCGAGCAAATGCATTAGTATAAGTTCTATATTATAGTTAAATTGTGAATTAAGTATAAGTAAAAATGAGTGTCCTCATTCGGAAACAAACTACAAAGCAGTTTGGCGATAATTGTAAAAACAAATTGTATATATGTAATACTTATAAATAAAAAAAAAAAGAGTAAGTAATAATGATTTGGTCATGTTAATTAAGTTGATGTTTTGTACAGTACAGTTCAGTTTTTTAGTTCATATGCATCAGTTTTTTATTTAGAATGTTTATAATTTAGTTTTGATATTAATATGACGTCCATACTTCTTTCTTAATATTCGATTTAAATCCCCTTTAGACAGAAAAAATTAAGTGCGAATAATTTATACGTAACGTGTTATAGGGGGTCGTAAAAAGACGTTATACGGGAATGCTCCTACAACGCGTTTTCCTGTAACGTCCAATCCACCGTATTATATAGAGGGGATGTTTAATTAGGGAATCTTCTATAATAACAATAAAATCTGTAATCAATATACTTCTTTATTTTGAAGCTTTAAATATACTTGTACTGTAGGTACTTCCAACCATTACATCACTTTAAAAAAACTTTTATAATGTATTTCAGTAATAAATATGACAATATATATATTTTCTTTACATTTCCCTTTTGGTCTCTATAAAATTATGTATTTTTTAAACTTTGTTTTTTTACATTTTGGCGCCAAAATATTTTTTACTTTTTTTTATTAATTTATCCACACTAAGGAACATCCTATACAGCTATATTGGTATTATAAACTCTTATTATTATTTTTATCAACATATAAATCGTAGGATATTTAACAGGGGTTATCTGCAGTTCTATTATATATACCTGTGCCTGCGTCCTGTCTGCGTGTATGACGTCCACATTAATCCCGTCGTATATTAACTCCTTAAACAACTGCTTCGCTCTGTCTTTGCTCTGCACGAACACTGTATTAAAGAGATATGAGCAAAATTAAAATAGGATTTATTATGTAAATGTAAGTTGGACTTTTTTCCGCAACAAGCCTCTCTAGGCCGTTGTACTAATAGAGGCGAGCAGGGGCGCGCCGGCCCCATACAGCGCCTGTGTGCGAAACCTATCAAGTGCTCATTTTTTCACAAATCTTTTTGTTTCATCTCATTTAATTTATTATTTGTTAATTTTTACCGAAATAAATGAGATGTAAGATTACTGTAATAGTATAGAAAAAAATAGAATAGAAAGTTTAAGATTTATAAATTAATAAACAGTCTATGTTTTTGCTCATAGTCAGATGCCGTTTTGCAATGATATCTTATATATAAAATTCTCGTGACACAGTTTTCGTTCCCATACTCCTCCGGCTTGACCGATTCTCATGAAATTTTGTGAGCGTATTGTGTAGGTCTGAGAATCGGCCAACATCTATTTTTCATCCCCCTAAATGTTAGGGGTAGTCCACCCCTAATTTTTTTATTTTATTTTAAGGCAAAACAACGTTTGGCGTTGAGCTAGTTAATTATTAAAAAGACGCTAAGGCGCGCCCTAATAAAGGACTGAGAATACGCTCCCGCCAACTGCGTCTGTCTCTTTCTCTTTTTTCTTCTTTAATGCGCGATGGCCTAAGACAGACTGCGACGAAGAATGCGCTCACTGCCGGCCACGTCTTTCTCTCTTTTCTTCTTTTGCGAAGGCCTACGACTGATTAAGAAAAGTTTTTTTTTATACTACTATGGTGGCAAATAGGCATACGGCCCATCTGATTGTAAATGGTTACCGTAGCCTATGGACGCCTGAAACACCAGGGTTGTCACACCGAGTTTTTTGGACGCAAGCTTGACCTTTTCTTCGTAAGTGTAAGAAAAAAACCATACTGTACCCAAAACTGGTGGCTTGAGCCCCTTCTGCACCAGTTGTCTGAACGCCACCAGTTTCCCGTTCTCATTGCCGCAGAACAGCAGCTCCTGGTCCACCAGATTTGTGGCTGCGTTCCTGGACACGAAACAATGGGGTTAAGTAACAGTTAGCTGAATATGCTTGGATAATTTTATATCAGTTCACATATGACATGACGTAATGACATATTGTAATTTAAATAATGTAAATTAAATATTGTAATGGATGAAAACTGATTGGTACAGTTTATGCTGTAAATAATATAAATGACGTAGTGGAGTAACTTGAAACAGTCATGCTCGCTATAAAGTTCAAACTTGTGGCGGCGTGGTGGGTTGGGTCGATGTGCCTAATATAGTTGAGTGCAATGATGACTGGCTCATCCGTCATAATCGTGAACGGGTGCTGCTTGTGGGGACTGGTCTGTTCAGGTTGCGAACACTGATTAGATTTTTATTTTTTTTCAATTGCATCTCCCAAATTTGAATTTAAATGAATATAATATTAATGTAAATATGTATGTACATTTAAAAAAAAATACAAACTGAGTTTCTTGTTAGTTATTCTCATCTCGAAATCATTCCAAACTGACGGTAGTTTTGACATATTATAAGTCTGTAATAGACTGACATGAATAAAGATATTTTGAATTTGAAATTATTGCAATATTCAGCCAACTAATAATCGCTGTGTGAATTGTCCAGGGTTATTATTATGCATGTATTTGCAAAAAAATATATCTAAGTAGGGGAGACCGGGGCCACAATTAACAAAAATTGCATTTTTCATTGTATCTCCGAAATTTTCCAACGTTTAGACCTGATCTTTAGGTCACATGTGCTGTAACTATTCAGGTATCATATTTTTAACTTAAATCAAACATAAAATAAACGATGCCTTAAATAGATTTTTTCTTAAATAAGTCGTATGTTAAATCTTACCCCGTGTTTGGGGCTAGAATTAACAGCTCTGAGGTAAGTATTAACGTCATGTTATACTAACGAATATGAAAAAAACAAATATATCTATGACATTATTTTTTATTAATGAAAGTGAAATCAATATAGAAGTGTATAGAGCACATTTTCTCATATGAATTGACATTACAAATTACAGAATATTTAAACATGAACAAAAACTTATAAATTCTTTAAAGTATTATAAATAATCAACAATATTTGGTCACTTTTATTAAAATCAGCAAATACTTATAAAAATATTAACGATTAAGAATATTGAGCATACAAATTATCTATTCATATTCATCATCGTTCGAAATACAATTCAGGCAAGTGAATGATGTGATATCACCTTTAATGCACTTAGTTTGGGCCCAGTCTTTACAAGAGATACATTGAATCCAATCACCACCTGAGAAATCACTATATGAAATACCACAAACAATACAAAGAGATTCGTCTTCTTCAGAATCACTACTTTCTTTTAATACTTTTCTCTTTGCCTTTTCTATTTTCTCTTTGTTTTTATTTATTTTTCTATCTCCCTTTGCCTTGCTTTTACCCTGTCCTTTACCCTTTCCTTCATCTTTTTTGTTCTCTTTGTTCTGTTTTTTTTCTGCTATTTTCCTCTTTTTCAGTTCTTTAATATGGTGTTCTTCTTCCAGAGCTTTTTTTCGGGCGTATCGCAGAGAATGGCAGATTTTTTGGCCCTTTTACGAGTAGGTGGAGCTCGTGGTGGAGGTTTTGGTAAAGGTCTTACAGTTTCAACCGAGAAGTCACCAACATCTCTCTGCATTCCTGATGGTCCAGCAACCGGCTCATTAGACATGTGTGAAATCACTTACATATTAGACATGTGTATAATTTCTAACTTTTTCCATAATTTCTTTCGCAGCCAACTCGTAGACCTCTAAGGATTTGGTTCCTCGAGTAGTTTTACGTTTGTATGTTCTCATTATGTAATAAAATGTAAGAAAAAAGAACATAAAACATAGGTATACAGTCGGATACCTTGTTAATACTAGCCACCATATCTGAGGTATATATTAACACGTTTATACTTACCCCGCCGATTTGTTAATTTTAGCCCCAAGGGTACATTTTTGGTTTTAAATAGCATAATAAAAATATTTTATAAAAATCTTGTCAATTGAGTTATATGGCATTATTAAGTATGAAATATACTCATAGGAAAACAAAAAAACATAATATTATGCCACATATTGTGAGCATAAATAAAAAAATTGTAAAGTTAAAAATGTTCGTTACTTGCGTAATAAAGTGGTCCAATACACAGCTCAGTCGCATAACGCGCGATGCACCACTGACCAATCCCGAGTCACGTGGCGTGATCTAGGCGACGATTTGAAGCAGGCGTTGTATGTTTAGTATGTATAGTTTTAGAGAAATTAGCTTGTTAATACTTGCCTCTGTTAATTGTAGCCCCGGTCTTCCCTACTTATATCAGTTGTCTAATACCCATAACAAAAGCTCTGCTTTTAGCTTAAGCTCTGCTTAGCTTGGGCCTAGATAGTGCCATGTGAATTGTCCAGAGTTATTTAGTATAAATTGAAGCATTTCTATCAGTTATCTAGTACTCATAACTCAAGCTCTGCTTAGCTAGGCACTAGATGGCGCTGTGTGAATTGTCCTGAGATTATTATTACTATTATCATTATATTACCTTTGGCCGACTGTGATGTTGACCAGTCCCCTGAGATTCCGTCTGGTCCACTTGGCGACGGGCGGCGTGTGAGTGGCACTAAACATCGCCACCCGGCGTTGCTTGCTGCCGCAGCACGACATGATCTGGTCGAGCTGCTGCCGGAAGTCTGACACCTGGTCTGCAGAACCCTCGAACAGCTTGTCCGCTTCATCGATGATGAGCCACCGGACCCTGGAAATATACAGTGTGAAAATTGGATAAAGAATAGTCTATACATATAAATAAAATTGGAGTGTCTGTTTGTAATATTGAAATAACCGTTTTATGTTACATGCATATGAATATAAACACGATATACCAAAATAACATTTTTTACAATTTTTGTCAGTCTGTCTATCTGTTCCGGCTAATCTCTGAAATGACTGGACCGATTTTGACTTCTATTGGCAGGTAACTAATGTAATAAAGAGTTACTTAGATTACTTTTATTTTAGAAAAAAAAAAGATCAATTCCATGCAGACGAAGTTGCGTGGGTCAGTTAGTATATATATATGTTCATTACATGCACTACATTCCCTTTTCTTATCCGTCATATTATATATATATATATATATATATATATATAATTCCGAGGATTGTCACTTATAAATGGGGAAGTTTACCCATTTAAAATAAGTAATTTTAAGTGACACAAGGGAAACTATATTTACATATATATATATTTATTAATACAAGTACAAATACCTGCCCCGCTCATAATGTGTTAATGTTACTTTCTCTACCCAAAGGTAATCTGGAAGATTGTTTAGCGATAAGACCGCCATTTGTATTAGTTTATGTAACATAAAGTTTAAATAAATAACCGCTACGCTATAAGCCTCTATTTTTACTTACTTGTCCAAAGTGATGCTGACATTGTCTTGATTAAGCAGATAACATAGGCGATTTGGCGTACTGATGACAATATCTGAAACAAATCACAAACACATTAACAACTACCCGTACGACTGAACACAAAGAATTCCTCATTTCGTGATGATTATCAACTACACAACGACACATTATTATTTACTAATGTGGTTTTACTTTGTAAAATATTATTTTTGTGTTTCAACAAAGAATTATTATTGTTGTTATATATATATATATATATATATATATATAATATATTATATATCTCCCTTTGATGGGGTGTTACACTTGTCATTGCGGGTGAATATCACCAACAATGACAATTATAATAGAAATTATTATTATGACAAAAATTTGCAGACTATTTTACAGGTTTATATAATTACAGCTTTTTGGAGAAGTTTATTATATATTTTTTTTTCTCAGTTTTTGCTGGTTTTTTCCACACTTACGGGCCGAAACCAAGTAAGTGCAGTGTACGTACGTGCGTGTGTACGTGCGTACGTGTGTGCGTACGTGTGTGCGTGCGTGTGTGCGTGCGCACATGTTTGCGCGCGTGTTTGAGTGTGTGTGTATTTATTGTGTGACTGGTGTTATATCCTTTTCATCTATTTCGAGAAATTTTCGGACAGTACGACAGGTATTTAAGATGGCAGCCTTTTGAAGGGTGATGTAGTGTTTATTATATATTTAATTGTTTCAGGCTATGATGTAGGTGATTAGGTATGATGCTGTGGATGAGAGGACTATGGGTATTATAAAAACTTATTCCTATTTCCAAATTCTTGTTACTTATTATTTTTATTATTATTATTAACTGTGTAGTATCAACTGCTCAGTGGTACAGTTCTAAAACACATTGTCTTAATTTCGATGAAGATCGCGGGCTCACTTCTCGCACAATACAAATATTTCTGTTCGTGGATATGAATACTGCGTTTTTTTTACAATTACCTTTTTTTTAATACAAACAACAATACTCATGAATATAACCGTTTGCACCGTGCGAGCAATCAACCATAGGAAGTAAAGCAGTGTGCTAAGTCACTACTAGACTACCGAGGCTGTCAAACTAGGTATATACTTACCACTTTTTCTAATTGTAGCTTCGCGTTCCTTCACTTTACTTTCTTTCATGTTTCGTACCACACTGCATCGTAGCTCAGTAGAGGCACTCAACCTTAGTGCCTCCCGGTAGATCTGATGTGCTAGTTCTCTCGTCGGACATAGGATTAAGGCTCTCGGGCCTCCTTGGGGTGCTCCTAGTGTGTGTAGTATAGGGAGAAGAAACGCTGCTGTTTTACCAGAGCCAGTCGGAGCACAGGCAAGTATTTGGCGGTCCTATTTTGTAAATAAAAATCATGAATGTAATACAAACAATTCATATGAACGTCAAATTTTTTATATTATAATGTTTTCCCTACTGTCCAGTTCAGTATATAGATCCAATTGCGAAGAACTGGTAAGAAACTCAATTGAATTACTTTTTTATTTCAAAAGCCAATTTTTTTAGAATGTTTTATATAGATGTCTATGACTAACAAATGATAATCCCATGCATGAACAACTATTGCCATGCACGCTCGTCATTCAAGTAATCCTTTAGTGAGTAATAGGCTTTACTCAGTAAATATTATTTAACAGATGTTTTGAATTTATTTAAGGGTAATTCCAGTATATCCCTTAGTACCTGATTGTAAATTTTTATACCTAATTTCTAATTGAAGTTTATATATCAAATCAAATAAATAGTTTGCTTTGATTTAACATACCTCCAACATACAGGGTAGAGTCTGTCGTTGTACAGGTGTGGGTTCACTGTACCCGCACTGTATTGCCGTGTTCACCAGCGCCTGCGACACATTGTACTGAGGCACAAGGTCTGAAAACTGCTTCAGAGCAGCGGGAACATGTCGACCAACAACTTTTATACCATACTCATTACGGAAGCGATTTTGCTGAAAATTAATGAAAATAAAAATTATAATTATAAATATTATAATTTATTATTGTATATATTATAATTGTGTATAAGAATTACAATACCATTTTTATACTTGTTTTGATCAGTCTTGTTTAGAATTTTATTAGTTTAGGTTATTTCATTTTCTTAATAATATAGCCCACGATAATTCCTACAGGTAGGTAATCAGATTTTCTACTATTGGTACAGTACACTTGATAGAAATATTTCATTATGTTTTTTAATACATATCTAATACACATAGAAAATTATACACATGAATATATATGTTTATTTCAAGTGATCGTCATATCCATGACCATTGCAATTTTGGCAAAGTACTGAAGTGCTACAGGACTGAGACCATTGAGAATTTCTAATAATTTCCCTTACCTTCCTAACAGACCATGGGCAAAATTAAATACTATAGATGGATACAATAGTGTTAAAATAGAATGTACATAAGTGTGTGCCACACTATATAGAAAATAAAGTTAAAATCCACACGGACGGAGCGTGGGAACTGCTAGTTATAAATATATTAATGCGTCTAGTACTCATGGTACTCACCTCTTCAAGCTCAAGTTTCTTTTGCAAATCCTCAGACTGTTCTTTTCTCTTCTTTTTTCTTTTCTTCTCTCCAATAATTACACCATCTACCAATTGTATGTCAGCATTTTCACTATCTGACCCTGAGTCAGAGGCTTCTGGTTCAGATAGATCTGAATCATTACCATCCTCTATTTCATGTTCATCTGGTTCTTCAATTTTAATCTTTAATTCTTCTTTTTTAACAGCTACTGATGGTTCCTGCTATGGAGTACAGGACACTAATATTTTAAAATCATCCATACATACATATAAATAAAACTGGAGTGTTGTAATATTGAAATAAGCGTTTTTCCTACATGCATATGAATATAAATACGGTACATACACCAAAATAATATTCTTTACAATTTTTGTCTGTCAGATAGACCTGTCTGTTTGTACCGACTAATCTCTGAAAAGGCTGGACCAATTTTGACGGGACTTTTTTTGGCAGGTAACTAATGTAATAAGGAGTACTTTAGGCTACTTTTATTTTAGAAAAATAAAGTTAAATTCCACGCGGACGATGTCGCGAAACAGCTTATAAACAATAAATAACAAAAATTAAGAGGTTATAATTGTATACTCACATTGTTTTTAATGCCCAGAACTCGGTGTTTGAAGGTTAGACCTTTCGTTAGTTTTTTAAATATGTCATAGGCGTCCATTGTTTAAAGATTTCTAGAACATTATATTATATTTTCTTTTAAAAACTTCGTTGAAGTACATGTGAAATGTTTTTCGAACACAACTTGACAAATTATACTATGAAGTATAACACATAGTGACAACTGTCAACACATGTCAGTTTGATCACAGTACAAATGTCAAGAATGACGTACACTCAGGTAAGTTAAAAATAGGGGCCACCACTATGTTATAATGTTATCAGTGTATATTATTGTTAAAAATATATTATTACCTTAAATAGCTATGTAAGACATAAAATAAATAGTCCACATGAGGGTCAAACTGACATGTTCACTCTCCCAAACTTCAGATTTATACCACAAATCCTATTATTCTACTAATACCCATTAGAAAATAAAATTAATAAATTATTTATATATAAAATATTTTATAGAAATTCATGAAGGAAGTTTTTCGCAGATGTTTTTTTTTAAAACGTTATCAGTGTTGGTTTGTAAGCTGTATTTCGGTTGTAGAGTGCAGTTTGTAATGAAATTACAGGATAAGCATGACATCTTAGTCCTCTGATCTCTTGACAATACTTTTTATTTCTATTCTATTTCTGACTACTCCATCTGGGATACCGACCGAGTTATCGAGACGGTAACGATATTATTATGATTATTATTTATGACACGACATTTCTAATGTAAAAATGTTGACTACTTTCTATTACTTCCACTGGTTCCAAAACTGAAACTCCTGAAACTGATTTTCAATAGAGCCATTTGGTTATTACAGTCTAGACAAAAATTTTGTTATCCAAAACCCCAATTTTAGCCTTTTGCATGTCGTACACATCTATACGTATAAATAAGATTGGAATGTCTGTTTGTTATATTGAAATAACCGTTTTTTACTACATGCATATGAATAGGAATACGGTACATACATACGAAATAACATTTTTTACAATTTTTGTCCGTCTGTCTGTTTGTTCAGGCTAATCTCTGAAATGGCTGGACCGATTTTGAAGTGACTTTTTTGGCAGGTAGCTGATGTAATAAGGAGTAACTTAGGCTACTTTTATTTTAGAAAAATGAAGTTAAATTCCACGCGGACGATGTCGCAGGAACAGCTTGTTATTAATATAGGTATTTGGGTAACGTTAATTTTATGCTAAATAAGGTATTTAACTCACTCGACGTTACGACTAGGTTGCACTGGCTGTGGTCACGAGCTGACTGGAGTACTGTTACGTAACTACCTTCCGATATTTTTTCTAGAGACTACAGCATTGGATTTTTCAAGAAGGATATATTAAGGTTTCTTAAGGGTCGGCAACGCGCACGTACCACCTCTGGTGTCTCAGGCGTCCATAGGCTAACCATTTACCATCAGATGGGCCGTATATGCAAAATAATATGTCAATTAAGTAAGGGTAGAAATATATTTATATAACTAAAGTTGCATGTATATACTATATACAGTTTTTCAGTTGGTACTTAATCATATTTAATATATATAATTACTAGCTGACCCCGCAAATGTTGTTTAGTCCTATAAATTAAAATCGCTATTAAAAAATAGGGGTTGATGGTAGAAAATATAGGGTTGTGTTTATTTTTTAATGCCACATTATAAAAACAAAAATTTCAAAAATAAATGAACGCTGGGCTTGGACATTCATTATCACTTGATGAAAAATATATAGTAGCCGATTCTCAGACATACTGAATATAAGATTTCATAAAAACATTGCGACACGAGCATCACTATCATTACATAGTATAAAACAAAGTCGCGGTCGCTGTCTGTCTGTCCCTATGTATGCTTAAATCTTTAAAAGTCCGCAACGGATTTTGAAGAGCTTTTTATTAATAGATAGAGTGATTCAAGAGGAAGGTATATATATATATATATATATATATATATATATATATATATATATATATATATGTATAATATAGGTACACCCGGGCGAAGCCGTGGCCAGTAGCTAGTTTTAATATATAAGATTATGTTGTCTTAATACGAACTAACAAACGAATTACCAAAAAATAATTATGTACTTAATTTATATGCGGTCAAATTGGGAGCGAGAGGTATACCAGCGAAATCTCTCTACGATCTTCTAAAAGATCTTGGTCTGTCTAGAACTGCAGTAGGTTCTATACTACATAGAACGTGTATCTAAAACTGCACTAGCAGACTCCAACCAGATTTGTCTTGGCAGGGAGAGAAACATAAGCGGTGAAGATGAGTGTTGACGTCAGCAAAGGGGCTCGTTAAACTTACACCAGTGTCCTTGTGAGCTGGATTTAGGTATAAGGGGACTTTCAGGGAACTGCGCGTAGTTACTATCTCTGCCACATTTTGTACCCGGCTCCCATAGGATCTAAGGAGTTCTATGAAGTTTGTCACCCCGGTCCCATAGGGTGACTTCAAGGAGTTCTAAGAAGTTTGTCACCCGGGTCCCGTAGGGTGACTCCAAGGAGTTCTAAGAAGTTTGTCACCCGGCTCCCGTAGGGTGACTCCAAGGAGTTCTAAGAAGTTTATCACCCGGGTCCCGTAGGGTAACTCCAAGGAGTTCTAAGAAGTTTGTCACCCGGCTCCCGTAGGGTGACTTCAAGGAGTTCTAAGAAGTTTATCACCCGGGTCCCGTAGGGTTACTCCAAGGAGTTCTTAGAAGTTTGTCACCCGGGTCCCGTAGGGTGACTTCAAGGAGTTCTAAGAAGATTATCACCCGGGTCCCGTAGGGTGACTCCAAGGAGTTCTAAGAAGTTCGTGTCTCTTAAATGTATATGTAGGTGAAAATAAATTAAAATACACATCATCAATGGAATCACTGCGAGTTTATTTTATACTTTTATTACATCCAACTGTTATACTTCGCGTGAGAATTCAAATGCAGATATCGAAACGAGAAATGAGACGGATCAAAGAAACAATTCACTTGAAAGTTAAAAAAAGAGCAATTATTGCGCTCCGGTCCATCATCGCTATTGCTCACCATAAACAAACAGTTTAGAAAAAAAAAACAACACATGTATAAAATTGTAACATCTGAAATAAAGACATGTAATAATTTAGCGCCAATATACTGTAAATAATATTACAAATAATGCCGTTTTAAGAAAACATCATATAATAAACATTAAAGACTAGTCAATACAATTTGGCGCCAAAATACAATTGACAGTGGAACCATAGACAATGATGGATCGTAGCAGGCAAAGGCGTCAGATACAAAGATACTTACAGTACTAAGTTTTCCGACCATTGATATGTACCTACCTACCAACTGCAACCCGAGTTTATTCCTTAATCACATATATCAACAACATCAAAACAAGTAAAGACACCAGTTCAACTGCCGCTGGAACCCCGGGCTTTCGCCACTTATGAGATCAAACACTAATTTCCGAGACAAACAAGAATACACCGTATGGTAAGTAATTTTGTATTTAATTTTATTCTCATTATTATATATATTTCTCATAATCTTGTCTGTATGTTTTATGAGTATTATAATTTACCCAATTTGAAGACAAAAATTGGCAGCAATTTATTTGGACCTCACAAATAATTTACACAAAATTCTAATCTAATTCTAACAATTTATATGAATTGGACATAATTCTCCACTAATTTGGCAGTATGTACAAAATCTAACTACGTACAATAGACACATTTTTATTTTTCTAAATACAGTTCACATTAAATTATGCTGTCAGTCCTATTAATATTTTGAAAATAGCAACACTGACATTAAAGAGTAGTACCGCGGACTGGTCGTGTGTGATCCTACAATTATTAAACTAACAATATCAAACACTAGACATTTTGAGTATCCATTGAGCAACATACTGCGAAATAAATAATTTCACACATGATTTTGCCTAGAGTTAAAATGGCGCGGTTCCAGCGGCCGTTGAACACCAATTCGTAATTCGATTTCATTACATGCTACAACAATAGTACTTTAAGTGTCTTCACCGACAATAGATGTTCAACTTACAACAATTTCAAGAGAAGCCCTAAGTCTCTATAAGGGCCGCTTAGACGGTCCCGCACACCTAGTAACCTTATTCGATCAATACACAATACTATGAAACATTTTTTACATCCTCCACTCTGACCCATCCCGAACATTAAAAGTATAACAAAACTCATTAACTAAATGTATTTAACACATATTTTCATCTTTGTTCAACGATGGCAAACCATATTTTTACATAATAGTAACACAATAGTAGTTTAGACTAAGTAAAATGTCTTATGTGGCACTTACGCTCGTTTGTAATCAATAAATTAGTTTGTTGTAACGACTCGAGGGTATGTATCACTTAAGACACCGGCTTAAAGAAAAGAAAATCAATGATAATAAAAACGCAGATCGTGCATACATTAAATTACGAAAAAAGAGAAAAATCTAACCTAAGTGTCAGCAAAAATATAGTGCAGTAAAAATTAGAATTGCCACTTAATTAACTTTCACATATAAATTGTTTTTTATTTTTAATTATAAAAAAATATTTCTGTGTATAAAATGTCACCCAGGCATAACAGTATGAGCGGCGTGCGTTTGTTAAAAGTTCACCGAAGAAAAATAACATATTGACGCACCGAACGTGTCAGTTCGCAGCATTTTGGCGGGAAGTTGAATTTCGAACGGCGACTTTTAACAAAATGGCGTCACAACTTAATGTGTTATCTACACATAAAAGTACATCTACTTCATAATAACTGTTAGTATATTGAATGTCGTAAGCTTGTATATTGTAAATATTTTTATTTTATGTACTGTAAAGACGGGCTATCAACGATGGCTCGACCGCGGACATGATTGAATCTTAATATAATATAATACTTATACTTTTATATAAAAGTCGTAAGTGCACTTTGAATTACGGAACTATTTTATGTTAACTAGATACTGTAGGCCTAGCAGATTTGTCGCTATAGTTAGACAAGAAATCACAGCTACAGAGTTTGTCTGATTTAATAACAGTCAATTGTATAAGACTACAATGCAATATCATTTTAAAAAATTAAGTACTTGATTTATTTTATGATTTAATTGTGCGTTTTGTATTAAAACGATTATATTTGCAGGAATTCTT